ACCGGCTGTCCCCCCCAGCATGAGTTTCAAGCCACTGGGCCTGGGAGTCGAACTGCAGTTGACAATGTGGGAGTCCAGCAACGTAACCATTACACCACCTGCTAGTCCCAAGAAAAGATATTATAGGAGCTCCAGAAAGAAAGGGATGACTCAGGTGGAGTTCAAAATGGGTCATAAAACAGTGGAGACAACTTGCAACATCAACAACACATTTGGCCCAGGAACCTCGAACAAACGTATGGTACAATGGTGGTTCAAGAAGTTTTGCAGGGACCAGCAGTTAGTGTAATGGCTATGTTGCTGAACTCCCATGTAGTCAACCGCAGTTCGAGGCCCGGACCCGGTGGCTTAAACTCATGCTGGGTGCATGTGCGTGCATGCCCAAGATCCCGAGAGGAGAATGGAGGAGAAGAGATTGTGGTGTGGTCATCCCCCCCTGGGGGGTGATTTCTCACTTTCTGTCTCTCTGTCTCTCTCTTTCTGGTGAGCGCACATGCCCTATAGCAAAAACCTCTTCCAAAAAATAAAAAAATGTTTTGCAAAGGAGACGAGCCTTGAAGATGAGTAACACAGTGGCTGGCCATGAGGTATTGCTCTAAGATCTGAGAAGCATGTTCCTGGGGTTATTAGAGAAAAGACCACTGCACATAGAAAAGGAAGAAGTCTCTGGCACCAACAGCAACAAAGTTTACTGGTTAAAATCATCCTGAATCTGGGGAAGTAAGGAGCTTTATACATACATTTCTTCTATCTTCTCATTCTCAGTTGAGTTGACAGTTTATCACCTTTTTAGTCTCTTTAGCTCTTAGTCGAGTTGGTGACTTGTGTAGTAAAATAAGGAAGAGTTGGCAATAGTAGAGCAGCAAGGCTTGGTGGCTGGACCCCAGGAATCTGGGATCATGTGCTGTGGGTTGGCCTCAGGAGATGAATGAGTTTCCTGCAGTGCTTGGCAGAGGTGGGCCTGGGACTGCTGTTAGGCAGTAACTGATTTCCCAGGGAGAGCAAGGCTAATTTCTCACTGGCACCCAGTGACACCAGCACCTGTGGGACAGACAGCAGATGATGGAAGAGGATCTGAGGTTCAGGAACAGTTGCATCTGGGAGAGATGCAGAGAACTATCATTTGACCTACCAATTTTCACTGCAGAAAAAGGAAATGGGCTCATTGGGAGTCAGAATAAAATGGATAGACGCACAGAAACCTTGAATATATCCAAGGAATCATCATGGAATCTACTTTCATTTTCTTTGCTTATAGACCATGACCAAGACACCAAGAGACCCAAACACTTGCCCCTAAGAAGAGGCAATAAATGCAACAGTGGCTGACAGAGAGCTAAAAGGTCTGATTTCAGAACACTGGATCCCAATCTCATTCCTACCAAGAATCCTTATTATTTCTCCATACAGAATGCCAGATATTTCCATAATATCAACACTATCCTGTCAAATTTCTATTCTGCATGAACTACCCAATAATGTTATCACCTTGAGCTACTGTATTGGTGCAAAAGTAATTGTGATTTTTATATTGTTGAAATTTGCCATTTGATAGTAGATCCACTCTTAAATAAGTATGATTATGTTATATATCATTTTAATGAGCATTTATTGCTTTATGGGGTTTTTTTGCTGATAACTTGTTACTTATTTTATATGTATGTTAGATTATGGACATAATGTTAGACAAAGAGCAAATTCGACTGATTTTCTTTTTTTTTTAAGAAGTATTTTATTTAACTTCATTTATTTATCATTAATATTTTCCAGTTTGATCAGAGAGAGAGAGGGAAAGTGAGAAAAGTGAGCCACCAGGTCTAGGACTCAAACCACGGTCAGCCATGTGGGAGTCCAGTGCCTTTAACCACCATACCACCTGCCAGCCCCCAATGGATCTTCTCATCCATTTAGTTTAGCGGAGACATCTCACAACATCGACAACACATTTGGCTCAGGAATTGCTAATAAATGTACAGTACAGTAGTGTTTTAAGAAGTTTTACAAAGAAGACAAAAGTCTTGAAGATGAGGAACACAGTGGCTGGCCATCAGAAATTGACGACAACTAGGGCCAGCAGATGGCAAAGTGGTTACATCACTGGACTCCCACATGGCTGACTATGGTTCAAATCCTAGACCTGGTGGCTTGAAACTCACACTGGACATGTGTGAGTGCCTGTCCAAGATCCTGGGAGGAGAATGGAGGAGAAGTAATGGCGTGGCTATCCCCGGGGGGGGGGGGGGGGTGATTTCTCACTTTCCCTCTCACTGTCTCTGTCTCTCTCTCTCCACACCCCACCCCCCAGCAAACACACATGTCCTAAGGCATAAACATCTAAAATGAAAAAAGAAAAGAAATTGACAATCACCAATTGGGAACAATCACTGATGCTTATCTTCTTACAACTACAGGAGACGTGGCTGAAGAACTCAATGTGGACCATTCTACAGTTGTTTCATATTTGAAGCAAATTAGAAAGGTGAAAGACCTCAGTAAGTGGGTGCCTCATGAGCTGACCAAAAAATTTTAAAAACTGTCAGCTTTAAGTGTCATTTTTCTCTTATTCTAAACAATGAATCATTTCACAAATGGATTGTGACATGAGATGAAAAGTTAATTTTTTTTGGAGAGGTTTTTGCTTTAGGGTGCATGCGCTCGCCAGAAAGACAGAGAGAGACAAAGAATCAGAAAGCAAGAAATCACCCCCCAGAGAGGATGGCCACGCCGCAATCGCTTCTCCTCCATTCTCCTCTCGGGATCTTAGGTGGGCACGCATGCACTCGTATCTGGCATAAGTTTAAGCCACCAGGTCTGGAACTCAAACCGCGGTCGACTACATGGGAGTCCAGCAACATAGCCATTGTGCCAACTGCTGGTCCCGAAAAGTGAATTTTATGACAACTGGCAACAATTGGCTCAGTGGCTTGATGAAACCTGCACCAAAAAAAAGGTCATGATCACTGTTTGGTGGGGTCTGATCCACTACAGCTTTCTGAATCCTGGTAAAACCATTACATCTGAAAAGTATGCTCAGCAAATTGATGAGATGCACCAAAAACTGCAACACCTGCAGCTGACATCAGTCAACAAAAAGGGCTGAATTCTCCTCCATGACAACACTCAACCACATGACACACTTAACCACACAACGCTTTGAAAGTTGAACGAATTGGGCTACAAAGTTTTGCCTCATCAGCTATATTCACCTGGCCTCTCACCAACCGACTACCACTTCTTCAAGCATCTTGACAACTTTTCAGAGAAAATACTTCCACAACCAGCAATATGCAGAAGATGCTTTCCAAGAGTTTGTTGAATCTCAAAGCACAGATTTTTAAACTAGAAATAATCAAACTTATTTTTCATTGGCAAAAATGTGTAAATTGGAATGGTTCCTATTTTGATGAATAAAGATGTGTTTGAGCCTAGTTGCGATGATTTAAAATTCAGTCTGAAACTGCAATTACTTTTGCACCAACCTAGTCATTTCTGTCATCATAGAGAGATACATGATCTATCCATTGTGCTTTTCATATACTGAAAATCGGGCAGAAGAGGTAGAACAGACTAGTGGTCAAGAGTAGGGGCTCTGGACTCAGACTCTTGAGTCTGAAACCTAATCTTACGTATGCACTTTGTAACTTGAACAAGTTAAATAATTTGTACCTCCATTTCCTTACCTGCAAAGTGAGGATAATAATAGTTTAAGCCAGATAATGAAGGTAAAATGTTTAATGTGATGTTTTTCATATGGTAAGTGCTAAGAAAGATATTGGGTCATCAGAAAAGTCAGGATCTGTTTTTCTACGCAAAAATGCATCATGGCTAGGGCAGGCAGGTGGCATGGTGGTTAAGGGTGTTGGACTATTATATGATTAACTGCGGTTTGAGTCCAGACCTGGCAACTTGCTTCCTCTCTCTCTCTCGCTCTCTCTCCCTCTTTGGTCAAATTTAAATAATAAATTAATACATAAAGTTAAAAAAAATAATTCTTTAAATATATATATATATATATATATAGGGGCCAGCAGATGATGTGGTGGTTTAAAGGCACTGTACTTCCACATGGCCAACCATAGTTCAAGTCCCAGACCTAGTGGCTTCCTTTCTCACTTTCCCTCTCTCTCTTTCTCTCTCTCTCTCTGGTCAAATTAGAAAATAATAATAAAGCTGAGAACCAGCAGTTAGCGTAATGGCTATGTCGCTGGATTCCCACGTAGTAAACCACAGTTCGTGTCCCAGACCCGGTGGCTTAGAACTCACACCGGGCCCGTGTGCGTGCGTGCCCAAGATCCCAAGAGGAGAATGGAGGAGAAGGGATTGCTGCGTGACCATCCCCCCGGGGGTGATTTCTCGCTTTCTGTCTCTATGTCTCTCTCTGTCTGTCTGGTGAGCGCACGCGCCCTATAGCGGAAAAATAATAATAATAATAATAAAGTTAAAATAATAGTTTAAAAAAATGCATCATGACTTTTCCAACGACCCAATGGTTAGCACTTTCATGGCATCTGGGATGAAGTCACTCTGTATCTCTACATCTTCCAGTCCTCCCTTATCTCCTTCCCACACTGCCTGTACAAGAGATCGGCTGCAGTCCTGAGTAACTCAGCCTTTTCCTAACTTGGTGGAGCCTTCTTCTAGCTCCCTTCCCTTCTCCAGGGTAGGAATAAAAAATGAAAAACTCAGGGCCGACAGGTAGCACGGTGGTTAAGGGCACTAGACTCCCACATGTCTGACCGTAGTTCAAGTCCCTGACCTGGCCGCTTGCTTTCTAACTTTCTCTCTCTCTCTCTCTGTCCCTCTCTGGTCAAACATAATAAATAAATAAATACAGTCGAATAAAATAATCATTTTCTAAAAAGGGCAAAACTCAGGCCAGCAGATGGCATTGAGGTTAAGGCTCTGGATCCCATATGGCTGACTGTGTGGTTTGAGTCCTGGACTCGGTGGCTTAAAAAACGCCAAGCAAATGTGGGTGCATGCCCAAAATCCTGAGAACAGAGAAGGGATTGAAATCACCCAGGGAGTGATTTCTCTCTTTCCTTGGTGAGTACACACACCTTATAGCAAAAAAAAAAAAAGAGAGAGAGAGGGAAAAAAAAAAAGAAAACTCATCTCTAAGTTGCTTTCCCTGGGTTTCCTGCACCTAGGGAAGAACACAGCTTGGATTTCTGGATATCTCAATTCCTTACAGACTAGCTCAGAGAAATGCCATGAAATGTAGGCGCCCTGCCCATTGTGGCCCACAAGTCCCCTGGTTGTACCTGATGGATACACGGCTCCTGTCGGAGGCTCCGGAGGGCGACGAGGGCAGCCTCTTTCACATTTGGCTGGGGGTCTCCACACGCCATCTCTAGGAGCCGCTGGGGTACTTGGCACTGTAATAGCTCCTCCCCCAGCCCCTCAGGCCCCAAGTTGCCCAGAGCTGAAGCGGCATTACGCCGGATACTAGCCTGAGGATCCACAAGTAGCTGGGTCATACTAGGCACCGCAGCTGCCAGGGCAGGTCCCAGGGGACCAGCCTGGTAGGCTGCGTTGCCCACAGCAAAGCTGGCACTGCGCCGCACAGCAGGGTCCTTGTCTCCAAGCCCCAGCAGCAGAAGGTTGAGTAGTCCTGCCTGGCTCTGTAGTGCCCCACGCAGGGCCATGCTGTGTTGGAGCAAGTGTCCCAGAAGCCCATGTGTGCGTGCCCGCACAGAATTCTCTGGGTGGCCCAGGAGGCTGCGCAGAGGTCGATAGGATTCATCAGAACCAGCCAGGAGCTCTTGGATAAAGGACAAATGGCTGGGAGACAGTACCCGGGCAGTGTGGGCCAGCAAGGAGAGAAGGTCAGCAGTCAGGAGCGGCTGGTCACTTAGGAGGGCAACCGAGAGGAATGAGATGATGGTCCTAGGGGAGGCTGCCACCGTGCTCACAAACTGGTTGAGAGAAGTGAGATCCGTGAGGGCCAAGCGTGTAAGGAGGCTCACAGGCAGCTCGATTTGTGGCAATGGAAGATGGTGGCAGCAGACCTGGAAGATAGGGATGCAGTAAAAGGGTCAGGGAGAGAAGGAGTACCTGCAGCTGAATAGGAAGTTTACAAGCTGGGAGAGAGAAAAAACGTGCTATGGGGAGAACTGCCACAGAGAGCTGGAAGTCCTGCTCTACCACACTCCGCTGGAGCCTGAGAGAGCGGGTTCATTCCAAGCACCTTCATTGCTTTGTAAGGCCTCAGTCCTTCTGTCTCCAAAAACACTCTGGGTAACAGCATGAATTGCCAGAGAAGTGATTTCTGGTCAAGGAGCTGAGTCTCCAGTTCCTGGACTGGGGTGTTCTCCCCACTGAATTCTAGAACAATCAGATGGGTGCCTAATATAGAGAAGGTGACACCAGCCCAGGAGACTGCCTCTGCCCAGGCCTGAGAACTGTTTCCATTACAACTCTCAGGTCAAATCAGATACTCCACTCTTATAGAGGTCCAGGAGAGCCTGGTGCTGCTGGAAGTGAATCAGAGGAAACAGGCAGGTCATCTTTCTCTCCCATCTTGATGCCTAGGTAGCTGCCCAAGTACCTGTAGCAGGTGGACTGTGACTTCTGAGTCTCTGAGGTCAGCCAAGATATCTGCCAAGCAGTCAGCATCCACATCCAGGGCGAAGGGGAAACAGAGCAGCTGGCAGACATAGAGCACCACGACAGGGAGAAACTCAGACCCATGAGGCCTAGGAGAACAGTGCAGAACAGGCCTGTCTTGCTTATCTGCCCTTTGCAAGCCTTCTCTCTCTCTTCTCAGCTCCCCTTCCCCAACATCAGTCACACCAAGTATTATGTTCCCACTAAATCCTCATCCCATCTCTTGCCTCACAGCATGCTGCCAGCTCTTCTCTCCTGCCTTCCCGGTTCTCCCTCCCCATTGCTAGCTCTGAATCGTCCAGTCTCCTTCTTCTAGCTCAAACTCACGCCTGGCCCAGCTGATGCAGGAAGCTGGGGGAAAGCAGGTGCTTCAGGGTGGACATGAGGACACTTCCACGCTGGGACAAGTGGCTCAGGCATAACTGGGGTTCCTGGGTAAAGGTGGTCACAGCCAGGCTCAGCAGGGCTGCCATGCCTAGAAACACCAAGAATGGAGACCCAGCAGAGCAGGTGAGAGGTTCAGATACCCCTGCTCCCCCTTGCTCTCAGGGAAGCATGTATCCAGTCCTTTCTCCATCCCCGAGCAGCTCGATGCACATTCTGCCATCCCCTGCCCAGGCAGCAGCAGCAATCTGTGTGGATTAACCCACTTCTAGACTGCCTTCTCTTAAGAAAGGATAAATATGCTGGCCCTACAAATGAGGCCAAGCACATAGAAAAATACCTTGGGGTGAAATCAGTGTCCAGTCTGGCCCTGGGCTTGGTAGACTGGAGAGTGACAGCTCATCTTCCTGTGAGGGTACCTCCTTGGGTAGCCTCAGGGCCATGGAGAAGCGGTGCCACAGAATGGTCCACATTTCTGAGTTGGTCACATCTCTGATCAGGCTAGCCTTCCCCTGCTGGAGAAAAGTTGAGAGGGTGAGTGGGGAGGCAAAAGTCAGAGTTTAAATAAATGCCTTCTCCCATTTCTGTCCCTAACCTTGAAAGACAGGGAGTCCACAAGTAATTCTTTTTGTTTTCCTTCCTAGTAGTTTCCTGTTGCCTTATTTCCCTTTCTTGACCTCAACCTCCTGACCTCTTAAAGTGTATGTGTGCAGAAAACCAGGAAATTCATTTGTCTTCCCACTGGATCCGAGGGGACACAGTTGAGTGGTCTTTACTTTAAGGGTGCATACTGAGAGCAGGCAGGGCAAGTCTCGAGCTATCACAGGTATAGCAGTTTACAGGAGAGGCAGATGTGGGTTGCTTCTTCATTCCTCTTGTCCAGTGGCTCCCAAAATGCCAAGTTTCTCTCTCCTTATCACCCCAAGATGCATGGTACCTGAGTGAGGAGCTGCAGCAGAAGAATTAGGAGGCCATCATAGAACCCACAGCTACCTGGTGGAGTCAGTCGGACCTGTTGAAAAAAGTAAGAAGAATGCAGATCCCCAAGAGGGATGAGGTGGCCTCAAAATGCCTATGTGTCAATTCCAGTCAGGCAGAAAAAGCTCCCCCTTGGCCTGGAGGAATGGGATGAGTTCTTTTGGACTGAACAGTCGTGGCTCCTGCTTATTCCTAAATATATAGTCTGGTAGGGTAAGCAGACACAGAAATAAGTACAGTTTAGGAGAATATTTGCTAAACAAAGGTTGAGGAGCACAGTTCAGAGTGCTGAACACTACCTACTGAAGGTAGGAAACTAATGGATTAAAACTTTTAAAAGGGAGGGCCAATAGATGAGGTGGAGGCTGAGGTGGCTGAATCCCACATGCTAACTATGTAGTTTCAGTCCTGGGTCCAGTGGCTTGAATAACACACTGGGGAGAGGCAGTAGGTGGCATGGTGGTTGAGGCACTGGACTCCCATGTGGTCGACCATGGTTCAAGTCCTGGACCTGGTGGCTTACTTTCTCACTTTCTCTCACTTTGTCTCTCTCTCTCTGTCTGTTTCTGGTGAGCATACATTCTCTATGTCAAACTTGAAAAAAAAAAAGTAAGTAAAATAAATAATCTTTTAAAAACTAAAGAAAGAAAAACACACTGGGTACATGTGTGTGCATGCCCAAAATCCTGCAATGAGAATAAAGAAGAAAGTGTGGCATGGTCACCCTCCCTGGGGACTGATTTCTCTTTCACTCTCACTGTCTCTCTCCAATGAGTTCATATGACTTGTGTCATAAAACCTTAGAAAAATACTTTTTAAAAAAGGAGAATGAGAGGAAAAACAAGTAAATTTTGGAAGTGGTAACTCTTCTGGTATTACATCCCAGAAACCAGTCTGGTAGGCCATATTGCCCACAGCAAAGCTAGCACTGCACCACCGCAGGGTCCTGTCTCTAAGCCTCAGCCGCAGAAGGTTGAGTAGTCCAGCCTGGCTCTGCAGTGCCCCATGCAGGGCCATGCTGGTTGGACAAGTGTACCAGGAGGATTACAGAGCCCAGAAGTAACACATGAGTTTTGAGAAGCAGGCTAATGAGTTTGGACTTCACCCAAAAGCAGTAGGAAGCCACTGAGGACTTACACAGCCTTAACACAAGCTCGTCATGGGCAAGATGTTTTTGTCTCTTTTACTCACTGATCTATCATTTAAGCCTGGGACAGTCCAAAGCACTCAATACATATTTATGTGCTCAATAGTAATTGGTTAAACAAATGAAAATACTTTCCTTTAAAAGCTCTTTTTAGTTGTAGTAAAGAGGATGGAGAGAAGAAAGCTGAGAGAAGAAATCCTTAAGCAGGAAAGTGCCAAAGACCAAAAGAGGAAGTGCACTGCTCATAAACTACAGCAGGATGTCACCATCAGAAAGAGGGAAAGTGAGAAAGCACTCTCCAGAAGGGATGGCCATGCTACAATCCCTTCTCCTCCTGTCTCCTCTATGGATTTTGGGCACGCACATTCATGTGCCCAATGTGAGTTTTAAGTCACCAGGTTCAGTACTCGAACCCTGGTCAACTACATGAGAGCTCAGTGGTGTAACCAGTATGCAATCTGCTGGTCACAATAAATAAACTTAAAAAAAAGAAAAAAAAAAACTCTCTTAAAAATAAAAATAATAAAATAAATAAAATAAACTTAAAAAAAAGAAAAAAAAAAACTCTCTTAAAAATAAAAATAATAAAATAAATAAAATAAACTTAAAAAAAAAAAAAAAAAGACCCTGTTGGGGATGCAGTCTCTCCTCCTTTCCCCCACCAAGGAAATAAATAAACTTTTATGGGAAAAATTTTTGCAATAGGGCATGTGTGCTCACCAGAGACAGAGAAACAGAAAGCAATCCCTTCTCCTCCATTCTCCTCTTGGGATTTTAGGCACGTATGCACACATTCCCAGCATGAGCTTTAAGCCATAGGGTCTGGTACTCAAATCCGAGTAGACCACGTGAGTCCAGTGGTGTAACCATTATGCCATCTGCTGGTCATAATAAATAAACTTTTTAGGAAAGAAAAAAAAGGGCCAGTCAATAGTATGGTGATTAAGGTGGCTGCACCCCACATATCTGACTGTGCAGCAGTTCAAGTCCCAGATCCAGTAGCTTGAAAAACATGCTGGACATGTGTGTGCCTGCTCAAAATCCCATGATGAGAGCAGAGGAGAGGGACTGTGGTGTGGCTATCCCTCCTGGGGGATGAATTCTCACTTTTCCTCTCTCTTTCCTGTAAGTGCATATGCCATCAGCAAACTTTAAAAATAAATTTAAAAACATAAAAAGAAATCTGAAGCCCTGACTAGCATAGGCTCAGAGGGGCCTATTATCTGGGGAGGCAAAAGGGCAGTAAAAGGACTCCTCAGTTCTTTTTCCATGCCTTAGCTTACACTAGGTTTCCAAGAGTTCAGTCTTTCCCCCTTAAGGCAGTCCTAGAATCTGACTCAGAGTAATCGTGGCTGTGCCTTCCCTGGTAGGCTCACCTCTGCAGGAGCAGACAGGGCATGTGTGGCTGCAGCAATCCATTCCATGGGCTGGAGGTCAAAGGTCACCCCTTGCTGACCAAGCTGTCCCAATAGACAGGCCGCTGCACTCTACAAGAGAGGTAAGGAGAAGATATGTTCGAATCTGAATGGTATTCAGGAAAAGCAGAGAGAAGATTTATGTCTCTATCCTGTCCAATAGTATACCCCCAGAAACAGCTGAAAAAGGGACAATGACTCCCCGACTCCCAGGCAAGTTGGATGATAGGTGAAATGGGGAGGGGAAGGTTGAAAACTCACCACAAGAGAGACGATGTGTGAATGCGTAAAGAGAGTAGCAATCTCATTGCCTAGCTTCTCCATGCTGGAACAGGAAGACACATCAAGGTGTGGTCACAAGGAGGTTGGTAAGTGACCTGCCCTCTCCCTCGGCCTGTGCCCTTCAAGTAGGCTACATGTCTAGCTCCAAGGCACAGAGCTGGCAGGAACTAGGTCTGTTCTTTATAAAGTTTCACTCTCTCTGTCCCAATCTCTCCTTAGGCTTTAGGGTGCCATTCCCCATACTCTAAGTCAGGGTTAGCTCTGCGGGGAGAAGACTTCTTCAGAGAGACCCTACTTTATGACTCACCCAGAAGGCAGATCTTGGAGCCGAAAGACAAGAAGGGAGAGAAGGTAGAGAGTCACTTCCACAGACTCTTCCCAATCCACCACTTTCACCTACAAAGGAAGCCTAAGATATCAGAAAAACCTCTGCTGAGATAAGGGGCCACCACAAGACTGCCCATCTACATTGCTGGCCCACCTTGCCCTGGACCAACATCAGCAGTGACTCCAAGGCCAGGGGCTCTTGCCCCAGGAGACGGCACAGGCGCTCACTGACATGGCAGCAGGCATAGAGAACCTACGGGAGTGGGAAGGAGTCTGTCAGCAAGTCATAGTAGCCCCTGGGCTCCTCAACTAGAAGGCTCAGCTGAAGAGGAGGCTAGTGTCTCTCAGCACATCTGGTCTCCACACTTGGGAGTATGCTAGAACTTCCTCTGGCTGTGAGACAGTGAGAGAGAGATTCAACTCAGTTCTGGTAAAGACTGGGTAACAGAGAGGTCTTCTCAGCTTAACAGATTTAAAGACAGAGAGGAGTCCTCAAAGAGGGTCTCTCTTTTTTCTTTTTTTAACTTTATTTAAGTTTATTTATTCAGTTACTTATTTTTAATTTTGACCAAAGACGGACAGAGTGAGAGAGAGGGAAAGTGAGAAAGCAAGCCACCAGGTCCAGGACTCAAACCACAGTCAGCCATGTGGAAGTCCAGTGCCCTCAACCACCACGTTACCTCCCAGCCCCCAAGAGGGTCCCTAAATCAGACTCTCAATCTCTCTCTCGGGGTCCCTGTGTCCATCTCACTCTTTTTCTCTCCTTCTCTCTGTCTCTGTCCTGAGAGATAAAAAGAAATCCAAGGTGTTGAGAGTTATGGGAAGAAAATACCTTGAGAAGGTGCAGGCACAGGATGGGATGCTGAAGGCCCGAGATGACGGATGGCCTCAGCTGGCTGCTGTCTTCAGTCAGTTGACTGGCCAAATGCCGAGAGACCTAATGAGACATACCTAAAGACTCATTCCTCTCCCCATTATGCCAATCCTCCAATTGATCAGGACTCTCAATCTCTTGTTAGTCACTCTAGCAAGGTTCACCAGGAACCTCAAACCTCTTTACTCCCGGTTTTCATGACCAATGGAGAACCAATAGTCATAGGCTCATTTGGCCCCAGTGTAGGCAGGTACAGAGCCTAAGTGTTCTTGGATAACTGAGAGCAAGAAAGTCTTGTTAATCCCAAGCCCTTGAGGAAGCTTCACAGGTAGCTTTGGATCAGCTGGCCTACCACCTGGGCAGTTTATTCACTAACCTGCTGGTCACAGGCTCTAGGATTTTGGCTATTTCGTGGTCTATAAGTAGCCCAGACTCAGGGTGGGGACATATATTTTTGGAAGTACTGAATAAGGGGAGACATAAAAGCTTGTTTATCTGCTTTTCTGAAGTCCTCTGGCAGCACAGATAAGAAGAGTAAAAAAAATGCAACTCAGACCTGCTCTTTGGCTTCCCAGCAGCTAGGCAGGCCCACAGGAGCAGTGCATATGGCGGCCAGGGCCGCAGAAATGGCTCCAGGAAGGTCCTCACTCTGCTCCCGCAAGGGCTGGCTTACTTGCGGGGCTCCTATGGAGAAAGGCAAGGAATACAGGATAACCTCATTTTTTCGCAGATCCCCATTCATTCTTTCATTCTCTAATTACTTCTTGAGCACCCACTGAACACTGGGTGCTATTCTAGGTGATGGCAATAGGAAGAGTGGAGTCAGACCTATGTAACAAGTAAGTCAAGAGAACCTCCCTCTCCCCACTCTGGTTACCTGGGGGTGTGTGGAAAGGGAGTTGTGGAACTGTCAAGCCACGAAGGAGCCCATCCAACACAACCCACTGTGTGGTCAATAGGCTGGAGTAAAAGGCTTTGGAGATGGTCCGGCTATTCCCATCCATGGCTTCACATAGGACAATAAAGCACTGAAGGACACAAGAACAGACATAGCAGTAGGGATCAGAAAAGTGACTGGACTCAGTGAATGAACCAAGAATATACTAAGAACCTGGAAAAGAAGATAAAAATCCAGATAAACAGTTATCTAATTCTAAGTTTTCCCCATAGTGAAAATACAGTATAAGTGCCTTCATGTTTCTAGGATAAGAATTTTAGGTATCAATCCTTCCAATCGCCAACTCCTCCCTAGACAATATTTATCAAAGTGTTATCTGTGGACAATGAGTATAAGAATTTATAGGGGGGCCAGAGGGCTGTGTGGTAGCTAAAGGCACTGGACTCCCACATGGCCAACCACGATTCAAGTCCCACACTTGGTGGTTTGCTTTTTCATTTTCCCTCTCTCTCTGATCAAATTGGAAAATAATTAATAACAAATAAAGTTAAAATAATTCTTTTTTTTAAAGAAAGAATTGCGGGACCAGCAGTTAGTGTAATGGCTATGTAGCTGGACTCCCATGTAGTTGATCGCGGTTCAAGTCCCAGACCTGGTGGCTTAAGCTCACGCCAGGTGCGTGTGCGTGCGCACACATGTGCAAGCACACATGTGCATGCCCAAGATCCCAAGAGGAGAATGGAGGAGAAGGGACTGCAGCATGGCCATCCCCCCGGGGGGGTGATTTCTCACTTTCTGTCTCTCTGTCTCTCTCCGTCTTTCTGGCGAGCAAATGTGCCCTATAGCAAAAACCTCTTCAAAAAAATAAAAAGAATTATTAGGGATTCTTGGGTCCCTTCCAAGCCAGTCCTTCTGTTCCAGAATTTCAAGTGGAAGGATAATTATTCCAAATGCCTCATCTACTCACTGCACAATACCATGAGAAGTGCTGGCCAGTAACATGAATCACTGCTGGGCAGAATTTAGGTTAGACATCAAAAGCTTTTTGACTTGAAAAGGTGCAGCATCCCATCCTATTAGAATAGGATCTCAGCCTAGAAATGTCTGAATGAACACCTAGCTGGAGGCACATATGTAGCCAAGATCCGTCTCCCCAATTACAAGTTTGAACAATGACCAGCAATTGTTTACAGCACTTGTTCCTCTCTAACCATCTCCTCTGGGATCAGTCAGAACGTGGCTATTTTCTCTCAACCCCTCTTTTTTATTTTCGTCCCTTACCTCTAGGACCTAGGGGAGAGAATCTGTAAAGCTTACTAGTCCTTAGGAAAAACAGTTGGAAAGCAGATGGTCTACAAGTCTTCACAAGAAGAAATACTTCTTTGGGTTCCCTGAAATACTCCTTACTGCTTAATGCCTTTGGGTCTTTACATGTGTTGCTTTTGCTCTCTGGAATGTCCTTCCTGCTTTCCTGCTCATCTACCTGGCAAATCACTATGCTTCTCAACCGAGATCATTTCCTTCTTCAAAATTTCTTCTATGACTCTCCAAATAGCACTAACGGCATGTTCTTCAGTGGTGTCTGGATTTTACTTGAAGTTTTAACATACTTTTCACTGAAGTCCTTAATCAGTTTACTGCTCTCCTGTGAGACGATCCCTAGTCTCTTGAAGGCAAGCACTTTCTCTTACTCACATAGTACATAGTGGGAATTCAGCAACATTTGTTGTATTAACTTGATCTGACAATATAATCAAAAGAAAGGATGGGGAAACACAGGAAAAGATAGGAGAAATAGAAATCTGAAAGTGGGGGCAGGTTACCATAAGGCTGTCCCTTCGCAAAGTCTGCTCAAAGTCATCTGGTTGGGCCAGCAGTTTCCCCAAAAGGTCCAGAAAGAGATTGGCAGCTTCCTGAAACACCTGTAGGCTGGGAAAAAATGACCCCATGGTTTCTTCTCATCTGTCTACTAAAAACCCAGGTATGGTGAATAGGTTGGTTCGAGGAAAGAAGGAGACTCAGCTAAGGAACACAACAGAAGGCACCCTCCCACTTCTCGCTAAACACACACACACACACTCACACACAATCTAAACCCCTTCTTTGCCATTTTCTCTAGGTTGTTCACATCTTGGCTCTTCTATTTAGGGCCATGATGACTGCTGACTCTTAAAACCTGAAAGCCTTTGGACGAAGCTGAAGGTGCTGTAGGGCCCTAAAAGGAACAGCAAACTTAAGGGACCATTCAGGTGATCCCCAAACCTGTCATAAACCTCAGCTTCTTCTCACTTGACTTCCAACTAGGAAGGGGTAGAAACAGGAGACAAACTGGCCAACATTTCAGAAGAGCCTCGTCTCCCACCTGTCATCTGTCTGGGTCCTCTTCAGATTGAAGGAGCAGGCAAAGTAGGCCTGAATCACAGCCATCAAGTCCTGTAAGAAGGTCCCATACCAACAGCACTGCCAGGGAAGAGGAGAGAGTGATGGTAATGAGGGGGTTGGAGACAGAAAATATAAAAAGTAGGAAAAGGGGCCAGCAGGTAGCACAGTGGTTAAGACACTGGATTCCCACATGGTCAACCACAGTTTGAGTCCTGTACCTGGTGACTTGAAACTCACACCAGGCATGTGTGTGTGCATGCCCAAAATCCTGAGAGGAGAATGAAGGAGAAGGGATTCAATGTGGCCATCCCCTCTGGGGTAGAGGGTGATTTCTTCTTTCTGTCTCTCTGTCTCTCTCTCTCTCTGGTGAGCACATATGCCCTATAGCAAAAATCTCTCTCTAAAAATAAAGGAAGAAAAGAGAAGAAGAGAGAAAGAGAAAAGAAGAAGAGAAGAAGGAAGAGGAGGAGGAGGAGAAGAAAAGACAAAGCAAGAAAAAAGATATATAGAGATCCAGTCAAACAGAAAGGAAGAGGGGGGAAAGAAGTCTGGGCAGAGAGGGAAGATCTAGAGCTAACCAAGTGTCAACCAATGGACTATAAACAGCCTGGCAATGTATCATGTTTGGCCTTGCTCTATTGTTCAAAAAACTCTCTTTCCAAATTCCTCAAAATCATCCAAGAGTAATAATACTAATTAGTGATATCATCAGTAGAGCTTAGCTTTGCAGCTGTCTCAGCTGAGGCCGGTTAACTGTGTCTCCACTCTGACCTTAAAAGGGCTCCTTGTCCTCAGCTCAACTGCAGCAGGATATAGCAAATGCACTGCATCTCAGTTCTCACTCTTCCAATTATTGTCTGTGCTCACTTAGTGTCTGCGTACAGGCTAAGCTCTGAGCTGCAGTACCCTGATCTGTAAAATCAGGTCAATAAAACCTATGGTTTGGGATAGCCCTATAGCACAGTGGTTAAGTCCTATGCACGGTCACACATGGTTGACCGTGGCTTGAATCCTGACACTAACAGCTTAAAAAACATGCCAGGTGTGTGTGTGTGTGTGTGTGTGTGTGTGTGTGTGTGTGTGTGTGTGCCCCACGGCAGTTGGGGCAAACAGAGATGGAAGTCTAAAGAGAAAAATTTAAGGAAAAGAACCTTCTGTCAGTCTTCAGAAGCTCCAGGCTAGTCCTTACCTGCTGGATACTGTTGTTCTCCAGGCCGTGTCTGAGTAGGCTAAACAGTAGCCCAGGCAGCCCTGCCTCCCGACAGAAGGAATACAGGAGGACAGAGTCACTGCAGCTGGACAGCAGACTGCTGAGGACCCGAAGTGCAGGGAGGATGCAGGAAGCACCCTCCAAGATACCCTTCAGGATCTGGGTGGCATATGGGAAACAGAAAGCAATCAATATTATCAGAGGTTAAAAAAAGGAGAGGTCAGTAGGTGGTGCGATGGTTGGGATGCTAGACTCCACATGGCTAACAACAGTTCAAGTGATAGACCTGATAGCTTCGAAATCATACCAGGCACATATATGCCTAAAATCCTAAGAGGAGGGGTCAGCAGGTGGCATGATGGTTATCACATGGTGTGATGGACCAACACATGGCTGACCATGGTTTGAGTCCCTGACCTGGTAGCTTGAAACTCATGCTGGGTATGTGTACATGCATGCCCAAATCCAAAGAGGAGAATGGAGAAGGGACTGTATCATGGCCATCCCCTTGGGGTATGATTTCTCACTTTGTCTCTCTCTGTCTCTCTTTGTCTCTCTGGGTCTCTCTGACAAGCATATGCCCTATAGCAAAAATCTCAACAACAACAAAAAAATCCTAGGAGGAGACTGAAAAAGAGGGGACTGCAGTGTGGCCATCCCCTGGCGGGTGATTTCTCACTTTCCCTCTCCCTGTCTCTGGTGAGTGCACATGTTATATGGCAAAAACCTAAAAAAAAAAAAAAAGGAGAGAGAGAGTCAGATAATAGGTATTCCCAGGGAGGTGGCAAAGCAGATGCAATGTTTGCATTCCTTTCTTTGTGAGTCTGAAATCCAGAGAAAGAGAGAAGGGAAAATTTCCTAGGGGAACTATACTAGGGAAGAAAAAAGAGGGCACTTCAGAAAGTTTATAGAAAATAGAATTAAAATCCAAGTTTACTTTGATGTAAAAATTCTGAGATCCATGAAAATTTTTTACAATATGCATTTTCTGATTAACTTTCTGAAGACCTCTCTGATACTGAAAGAATTGGAAAAGGACAAACTTTCTCTTTTCCTTATGTCAGCTGATGTGCTTTTATTTCACTTACATTTTTGCTAGGAAGCACATGAACTGGCAGGAGACAGGGAGAGAGAAAAAAAGTGAGAAAGAACCCTCCTATGGGGAATGGTCATGTCACAATCCTTCCCCTCTATTTGTCCCTCCTTTTTTGGATTTTGAACATGCATGCATACAGGCCTGGCATGTTTTTAAAGCCAATAGGTCCAGGAATCAAATTACACAGCCATGTGGGATCCAGCTACTTAAACTACCGTGCTTCTGGCAGGTCCAGCTGATGTTTTGTTTTGTTTTTAAGAGAGATTTTTTTGCTATAGGGTGTGTGTGCTCGCTGGAGAGACAGAGACAGAAAGCAAGAAATCACCCACAGGGGGGTAGCCACATCACAATCCCTTCTCCTCCATTCTCCTCTTAGGATTTTGAGCACACCAGCACACATGCCTGGCATGAGGTGTTTTTTTTTTGTTTTTTTTTTTTTTAAAGGTTTTTGCTATAGGGCACATGCACTCACCAGAAAGACAGAGACAGACAGAAACAGAAAGTGAGAAATCACCCCCCAGGGGGGATGGCCACACTGCAATCCCTTCTCCTCCATTCTCCTCTCAGGATCTTGGGCATGCACGCACACACGCCTGGCGTGACTTTAAGCCACTGGGTCCGGGACTTGAACAGCGGTTGACTACATGGGAGTCCAGCAACATAGCCATTAGGCTAACTCCTGGCATGAGTTTTAAGGTGCTGGGTCCAGGACTCAAACCACGGTCGACTACATGGTAATCCAGAATGTAACCATTATGCCACCTGCTGGTCCCTTTTGTTTTTTTGTGTGTTTTTCATTTGTTTGTTTGTTTGTTTTGGAGAGATTTTTGTTATACAGTATATGAGCTCACCAGAGAGACAGAAAGTGAGAAATCATTTCTCCTTCATTCTCCTCTCAGGATTTTGGGCATGCACACACATCTGCTTAGTGTGAGTTTCAAGCCACTGGGTCCAGGACTCAAACTGTGGTCAGTCATGTGGGGGTCCAGCAACTTAACCATTTCACCATCTGCTGATTTCTTGTTTGGTTTTCTTAAGAGAGATTTTTGCTATAGGGCACATGTGCTTGCCAGAAACACAGAGAGAGAGACAGAGAGAGAGAAAGTAAGAAATCACCCCCAGGAGGGATGGTCATGCTGCAATCCCTTCTCTTCTATTCTCCTCTCAGGATTTTGGACATGCATGCATATGTACCCAGCATGAGTTTCAAGCTAGGACTCGAACTGTGGTCAGCCATGTGGGAGTCCAGCTCCTTAACCACTATGCTACCTGCTGGCTCCTCAATTTGTTTTTGTTTTGTTTTGTTTTTATTTTATGTTTTACCATAGGGCACATGCCCAGAAAGAGAGAGGCAGAAAATGAAAAATCATCCCTCAGGGAGGATGGCCACACTGCAATCCCTTCACCATTCTCCCCCCAGGATTTTGAGCATGCACATACAGACACCCAGCATGACTTTTCCAGGCATCAGGTCTGGGACTCAAACCAGGTTTGGTCATGTGGGAAGCCAGTGCCTTAACCACTACACCACCTGCTGGTCCCTCTGTATTAATGTGTTTTAACACTTCACCTGTAAAAATAGTCTTAAACCCCATCCACATTATCCATCTGTCCATTACCTGGCCTCCTGCCTCTTGTAGCTGACTCTGGATGCACTGGCAGAAGTCAGGATTGCAGAGCAGGGTGAGAGGGGCCTTTAGCTGAATGGGCCTAGGCTGGGTGATCTCTAGCAGCTGTTGCCACTCATCATCACTGTCTGGCTCCTAAGGGAGTGAAAGAGGTCAAGAAAAGCATGTCAGTATAAGGGTACAAGCTCCTTATTTGGGGTTAGAAACCTGAAGAATCATGAAGAAACTGCAAGAAGCCAGAGCCCCTTTGGCACAGATGTATTTCTTCAGGCAACAATATTAAAAGGTACACCTGGGGGCATGGTATTTAAGGGCGCTGGATTCCCACATGGCCGACAGCAGTTCGAGTCCTAGACCTGGTGGCTTGCTTCCTCTCTTTCCTTCTGTCTCTCTCTGGTCAACTTGAATTTTTAAAAATAATAGCAATAACAAATGGAATTAAATAAATATTTTTTTGAAAAAAGGTACAGCTAGCAGTATGTGAAGGGTCTTGAAAGAGCTCTTGGAGAACTGGCAAGTATGCATATAGAGACATTTAGAAAGACATCCACTAAAGCATGGTTTTTAATTTTTTTTTTTTTAATGGAAACATCATGGGACCAGCAGATGGTGTAATGGTTACATCGCTGGGCCCCTACATAGTCAACCACAGTTCGAGTCATGGACCCAGCAGTTTAAAACTCACACCAGGGGTGTGTGCATGCCCAAGACCCCAAGAAGAGACTGGAGGAGGAAGAATTGTGGCATGGCTATCCCTCCTGGGGGATGATTTCTCGCTTTCTGTTTCTGTCTCCCTGTGTCTCTCCAGCGAGCGCAAGTGTCCTGTAACAAAAATCTCTCTAAAAGAAAAAAAAAAAGGAAACCCCGAAACACTCAGACAAGAAGCCATTTTAAATCTGGTCCCAGGGTGTTCAGGGACCAAGGAAACACTCAGACAAGGGTCCTTAAAATCGTCCACACTTAGTGAATCTCCTGCTCTAAGGAAGAAACTTCTTTTTATAAATCCGAATTCATAATCTCTTTCTGTGGATACCATGTTGCAAAATACAGAAGAGAGATTTTGTCACAGAATGACCAGAAACCACTGCAGAAGCACAAGAAATATGAGAAACCAAGAAAATACCTCTCCCCTAAGTGAAAAGAACAATCCTTCATCATCCACAGACAGTACAGTGGAACTCGTGGAAATGTCTGATAGAGAATTCAGAAAATTCATAGTAACAAAACTGAACGGGATGCAAGAGCTGAAAGACAATGAACTCTAGAAGCTGCAGGAGAAAAGAGACAAGTTCCAGGAGGTGAGGAAGTTCTTGCATGATCTAAGAGGAAATACACACCATGAAAAGAATCAAATGGGGACCAGCAGTTGGCTAAATGGCTGGATTCCCATGTAGTTGACTGTGGTTCGAGTCCCGATTCCGGTCGCTTAAACTCATTCCCAGAAGGTGAAGAAATGAATAAGGGCATTGATAATCTATTCCATGAAATCCCAGATGATGGGGCCAGCAAGTGCATGGTGGTTAAAGGCACTGGACTCTCATGTGGCTGACCGCGGTTCAAGTTTGGGACCTGGCAGCTTTCTCACTTTCCCTCTCTCTCTCTCCCCCTCCCTGTTCCTCTCTGATCAAATTAAGATAAACAAATAAATAACATTAAATAAATAAAGTTAAATAAAAATAATTCTTTAAAAAGAAAGAAATCCTGAAGAAAACTTTCCAATCTAGAGAGCCAGTCAAATACCCAGATCCAAGAAATGCAAAGAATCACCCCAAGACTATCTTCTCCGAGGCACATCATAGCCAGATTGGCCAAAACCACAGACAAAGACAAGATACTGAAACTGGCAAGAGAGAAATGTCAGGTTACTTATAAAGGTTATCCCATCAAGCTAATATTAGACCTCTCATCGAAACAATGCAAGCAAGGAAAGAATGGGAAAATATCTTCAAAGTGTTAAGTGAAAAAAAGTTTCAACCAAGAATACTATACCCAGCAAGACTATCCTTCATATTGGAAGAAAAGATAAAAAAACATTCTCAGGGAACCAGCAGTTGGTATATTGGCTATGTCGCTGGACTCCCATGTAGTCGACCGTGGTTCGAGTCCCGGACCCGGTGGATTAAATTCATGCCGGGTATGTGTGGGTGTGGGCCCAAGACCCCAAGAGGAGAATAGAGGAGAAGGGACTGCAGCATGGCCATCCCCCCAGGGGGTGAGTTCTTGCTTTCTGTCTCTCTGTCTCTCTCTGTCTTTCTGGTGAGCACACAGGCCTTATAGCAAAAACTTCTCAAAAGAAAAAAAAAATCTCAGATAAACAAAACCTAAAAGACTTTACCAACATCAGAGCACTTCTGAAAGGAGTGCTTTACCAGGAAAACTAAGACACACGTACAGAAATAAGAGAACAAAAACTAACCAAGAAAATGACCAACTTAATGCTAGAGACAAGAAATATCAATAATAAGGTTGAATGCTAACTTCCAGGATTTAAACAGAAAGATTGGACCACAGTAAGACTGCAAATTCAACAGAAGATTAATTATATAAGACTGAACTGGTGGGCCTGGCAGGTGGTATGGTGGATAAGAGTGCTGGACTCCCACATGGCCGACCATGGTTCAAGTCTTGGACCTGGTGGCTTGCTTTTTCACTTTCCCTCTCTCACTCTCTCTCTTTCTCTGTGTCATTCTGGTCAAATTAAAACTAAAATGAATGAATAAATAAAATTAAATAAATAATTTTTTAAAAAAAGACTTAACTGGTGAAATGGAATTTCATGACTTTCAAGTAAAACATTATTGTCTTTTTCTTTACTATGCTTTGTTTTCCCAATTTAAGGATTTTGCTTTCTTTTGAGCTATTGATAGGTTTGGCAATTTGTTCAAATGCTTTTTCTTCTTGTTTGTTTCTTTAAATGAAACAAACTTTCCTCCCTTCTTGATCCCTCTGAAATCAGAAAATATTTGGGAATATTCTTATTTAGTGGCAGAATGGTTACTTGCATAAGTTCAATAATACCTATTGCCTTGAATCAGAAACCGGAAATACTCATTATTAGACAGGGTTTTCACTGGACTGTCATATCTGAAGCTTCAACAAGGAAATTATGAAACTAAGGTAGACTTCAAATAAGCCAATAGAAGCTCTTAGAAAGATGGCCTGGCACCATTAACAGTTGTGACTGGCAGAGAGGATTAGAAAAGCCATATGAAAGAATTCATGCTATAAAATAAGCTGAACTTTTCCAGCCCAGCATTGTAATCAGTAGAGATTGTGAAAAAGCAGCCATAACCAGAGGATTATTTTGAGGACTTTGAAGGAAGAAACAGAGACTGATCTTTGCTAGCAGATGGTCTATCACAGAATATTTGGTAGGCAGGGCTGAATTGAGAAGGTTTATGTGTGAATTGTGTGCTGGGTGTTTGCTTTCCAACAGTTTAAGTAGTTGACATGTAAATATTTTCTCAAAAATATTTAAAACCACACTGTTTCTGTTAAAGAGTCACAAACAAAATTATAACTAATATTTCAAACATCTTTAAAATTCAGTTTTTTAAAATTTTGAAAGTTGTTTATTAAGTGTCAAGAACTATGGAGTATGAGTTAAAATTTTTTTATATGTAAAGTAAATGTGGGAAAATGTAAAAATAAATAAGTAAATTAGAAAAAATGGAAACATCATAAAGTCACGCAGTAAGGGGATAATAAATCACAGTACATCCATATTAGGAAATACTATAAGGTTATGAAAACGATGTGGCACTGAAGATGTATCATTCCTGTAGTGATACAAAAATATATAACGTGAATCTAATCAGGAGGAATATCAATTGGAAGGACATTCTACAAAATAACTGGTTTATATACCTCAAAACTGTCAGTCGTGTAAGACAAAGAAAGACTAGGAACTATTCTGAGTTAAGAAAATTAATGAGGTATACAACTAAATGCAATGTATGATACTAGATTGGACTGTGGACTGTTTTATATAAAATATATCACTGGAGCAACTGGCAAATTTGAATATAGATTGTAGATTAGTTTATTCATTTATTTAATGTTATGATAATAATAGTACTATATTAATGTTAAATTTCTGACTTCTATCATTGTACTGCCATAATATCAGTAAATAACCTGTTTGTAGGAAATATGTACTATAGATTGTTTTTATTTTTTTTAAAGGATCATTTTATTTGACTTTACCTATTTACTTTCTTATTTTAATTTGACCAGAGAGGGGTAGAGCAAGAACAAGAGAGAGGGAGAGAAGAGAAAGCAAGCTGCCAGGTCCAGAATTCCAACCACAGTCAGCCATGTGGGAGTCCAGCTCTCTTAATCACCATGTCACTTGCCAGCCTTCGTATGTTTGTTTTTAAATTTGCCAATGGGCATGTCTGCTTGCCAGAGAGAGACAAGGGGTGAAAGGAGGAACACCTCCCAATGGGGCACATTTATGCCACAATCCCTTCTCCATTTCTCCATCCTGTTGGGATTTGAGGCACTCATGCACACACACCTCGTATACTTTTCTTTCTTTCTTTTTTCTTTTTTTTAAAGATTTATTTATTAGGGGGACCAGCAGTTAGCGTAATGGCTATGTCGCTGAACTCCATGTAGTCGCCTGCAGTTTGAGTCCCGGACCCAGTGGCTTAAACTCATGCCGGGCGCATGTGCGTGCAAGCCCAAGATCCCGAGAGGAGAATGAAGGAGAAGGGATTGCAGCGTGGCCATCCCCCTGGGGGGTGATTTCTCGCTTTCTGTCTCTCTGTCTCTCTCTGTCTCTCCGGCGAGCACACGTACCCTGTAGCAAAAAAATAATTATTTATTGGGGCCAGCAGGTGGCATGGTGGTTAAGGGCACTGGTCTCCCACGTGGCAGACTGAGGTTCAAATCCCAGACCTAGCGGCTTGCTTTTCACTTTCATTCTCTCTTTCTCTCATTCTGTCCTTCTCTGGTCAAATTAAGTAAATAAATAAGTAAATAAAGTTAAATAAAATAATTCTTTTTAAAAAAGAAATTATTTAATTCCATTTGTTGTTATTATTATTATTAAATTTGATCAGAGAGAAAGGGAAAGCAAGATAGTAATCCACCAGGTTTAGGACTTGAACCACGGTCAGACACAGAGAAGTTCAGAGCCTTAACCACCATGCCTTCTGTCGGCCCCACCTGATATGTTTTCCAACCTGCCAAGGCCAGGATTTGAACCATGCAGTCTGTCATGTGAGATCTTTTCCCTTAGTCATTAGACCACAGAACCAGAATAGCATTGAAGTACTTAGGGGTTAAAAGGATCTGGGGCCAGGGGGTGTGTGGTGGTTAGGCGCTGGACAAACCCACATGGCTGATGAATAAATAAAATTAAATAATTCTTAAAAAAAAAAAGGCATATCTGCAACTTACGCTAAGATGATTCAGAAACATGGTATGTCCGTTTAGACAGACCGAATTGTAAAGCAAATGTGATACAATTATTATTTTTTTTTTTTGGAGAGGTTTTTGCTATAAGGTGCGTACGCTTGCCAGGAAAACAGAGAGAGAGAGAAAGAAAGTGAGAAATAACCCCCGCCAGGGGAGATGGTCACATCGCAATCCTTTCTCCGCCATTTTCCTCTTGGGATCTTGGGCATGCATGCACATGCGCCCGGCATGAGTCTAAGCCACCGGGTCTGGGATTCAAACTGCGGTTGACCATACGGAAGTCCAGTGACACAGCCATTAAGCCAACTGCTGGTCCCATAATAAAATTCTAACTGGTGAATTTGAGTGAATGGATTACTATAATTTAAATGGTTTTGCCCGCTACAAAATATTTGTGTTGCATAATACAAAACAATACATATAGTATGAACTCAGTAATATAAAAACAGCCAAACTATTTCTCCATGTGTATATACATATATGCAAAGTAAGTTTGGAAGGTGACAGACTAAATTTTTATAATAACAGTAGTCACCTCTGCAACTGCACAAGGCTCAAGGCAGACACTTTCATCTTTACCTATCTATTCTAATGTTTAATAACTACATGTTCAGATGTGCAAACTAAAATCTATCCATTAATAATAAAGCAATTTTAACACAAAAAGAGCTCTTACTTAGAGAGGTGGGAATCACTGTTCTAGAAAAACATCTACCCAGACCTGACATCCCATTGCCAGGACAAGGCCAAGAAGAGCACATAGGACCCACCTCATTTTCTAGATCCACTGCATCGATGCTGCGCTGGCACATGACCGCTGGTCTCAGCTCTGGGAATGCTTGCTCACTATCTGGGGTGATCCAGTTTTCCCTGCCAGAGGAAGCCAAGGCATAGGATGAGTTCCAGGTCTGTGATACGTGGGGTTCATCAACTTATCCCTTCCTTTAGACCCAGAATAGGAATGAGGAACAAGTTATATAGGACTGCATAGAGGGAAATTCCATCTAGGGTGCAGGCTATAGCCACTATAGGATATGCTGCCCACTATACACCTTCCCACTTTGGATCTTATTCTTTTCTTTTTCTTTTTTCTTTTTTTTTTTTTTTTTTTTTTGAGAGGTTTTTGCTATAGGACGCATGAGCTTGCCAGAAAGACAAAGAGAGACAGAGAGACAGAAAGTGAGAAATCACTCCCCACCCCCTGGGGGATGGCCATACCACAATCCCTTCTCCACCATTCTCTTCTTGGGGCCTTGGGCACGCATGCACATGTGCCCCGCATGAGTTTAAGCCACTGGGTCTGAGACTCAAACCGCGGTCGATTACATGGGAGTCCAGTGATGTAGCCATTCCACCATCTGCTGGTCACTGGATCTTATTCTTAAATCTCAACTCAAATAATTTTCCTTTTGAGAATGGAGATGATTCTTTCCCTTTCAGTAAATGTACAACTGAGGCATACAATCATGGCCTAGTGGTTAAGGCAGCTGGATCTCACATGGTTGAGTGTACAAGTTGAGTTCTGGACCTGAAGACTTGAAAAACACAACAGGTACATGTGCATGCATACTGAAAATCCTAAAGGGAAGGAAAGATGAAGAAGGAATTGCTGCATGATCATTCCCAAGGGGGATGCTTTCTCATTTTTATCTCTATCTCCTCTATCTGTCTCTCTCTGGTGAGCATATGTACATTTTGGCAAAATTTTTAAAAAAGGAGGGGGTTGAGAGGAGGCGAGGAGGAGGAGAAGAAAGTCTCCAAGTTTTCTGATGATTAGGGATAATAGAATCTGTAGTTAGGACCCAAGACTCATGGGCCAGTTGTGGTGGTGCAGCAGTAATGTGACACTCTGAAATGCTGGACCCAAATGGGAAGGTTCCAGGTCTCCCTATACATGTTGGGTGTGCACAGCCTGGCTGAGGCTAGGAGTGAAAAGTGGCATGAAAACCCTATTGGGGTTGCCTGTCTGTCTCTCTCATGAAAGAAAAAATATGGGGCCGGTGGTGTGGTGGTTAAAGGCACTGGATTACTACATGGCTAACCGCAGTTCAAGTCCTGGACCTGGCAGCTTGCTCTCTCACTTTCCCTTTCTCTCTCTGTCTCTCTCTAGTCAAATTAAAATAATAATAATAACAAATAGAATTAAATAAATAATTCTGAAAGAAAGAGAGAGAGAGGAATAAAAAAGAAAGGAAGGAAGAAAGAAAGAAAAGAAAATTGGGGGAAAAAACGAAAGAGCAAATCCAGTACTCAAGACTCCCAAAGCCATCTCCATATCTAGGCAGTGGCTAGTGACAGGAGCCATTCTGTATTTTTTTTTTAAACTAGAGTCAAAGCTCTGTAAGATACTCCACCCTACAAATCCCTAGCTATGCCCTCCTCACCGAGATGTAAGGGGGGCCTCTCCAGCCCCCCACTCAGCCCAGCTGCTCTTCATTTCTGAGGCTAAGATCCCAGCCAAGAGGCTCGATTCCTGAGGAGTGGCTCTTAGTCTGGATGGAGTTGTGTCAGAAGCTACCTTGTTGGTTCTGTCCTCTTGCTCAAGGGCAGATCCTGTGTCCTGCTGTTTCTGTGGGAGGTGGGTGGGAGATACTGGATGAGAACTATTTGACTGGCATAGAGAAGTGTAGATGCTATTCATGGCCTTTTCCCAATCCTAGACAGTTACCCTTCTATACTCCCCCAGTCACTGGACTGGACATGTTCATATTACCCTCTGTCCCACACACCTGCTTGGCCTCCTCAGCCATACGTTTACAGGCTTGACGCAAGATGCGAGACTGATTGCCCTTGGGGGCCAGCCGATGGGCCTGTTCATCTTTTAAGACCTGAAGTTCTGGAGGTAGGCGACTGGTGAATGGGGTGCCCAAATCTAAGCTTGCTGGTTCAGTTATTACTGCAAGGAGCAAAGACGGGAAAGACATGATCATATTGAGGTTACATGACCACCTGGCCAAAGACAACTTCAGTGTCTCCAGGCTTCTGTGGAACAAGACCATTTTGACAAAATGGCAGAGGGAAGGGGGATTCCAAGCGAAGTAACAAAGTTCAGGCAAAGGGCTAGGAAGAAAGCTCAAGTTGATGGAAGAAAGAAGATATGCTGTATCTAGATGTTAGAGGAGGGGAATAGACCGGGGCAAGAACTAGGAAGTACAAGAGCCCTGAGAACCCTGAGGACTCACTGGTGACACGACCAGCAATAAATGGGTGATGTAAAAGGTCTGGCCAGGACAGACGTTGCCGGGGGTCCTTGGTAAGCAGTCCCTGCAGGAAGTTCTGTAGAGAGAGAGAGAGAAAGAAAACAAAACAAAACAACCCATCAGCCCTTTATTCACTGCCTTTTTAAGTTATAAGTTCTAACATCAGAATTGATATACCATAACTCCTACATCCATTTTTCCAGTCATATAGGTGCTCTTGACCCTCACGTGCTCCGTGACCCTTTCCATGGCCAGACCACTGCTTCATCTCCTAGGGAGCCCTGGTTCCTGTTGATGCACATTCTGTAACTCTAGAAGAGAGAACTCTCAGTGTTGGCAGCAGATGGGGTGTACAGTGTAAAATGCAACACTGTGCAAGGCAATCCCATATGGGAAGGTTCCTAGTTCAAGTTGGGAGACCTCCCAGAGTAGAAGTGGGAATGCTTCATACACAGAATGCTCTTCACCTTTCTCTGTCTCTGTTTTTCCTGAGACTTAACTGCAGGCTACAGCTTGGGCTCATAAGCATCTTGAAACCATTAATTTTATCTCATGAAATCTGCCCACAATCAAGGTGTTCTGAAGGTATGTGTACCCGTTTCGTGCACCCCACTCATGTCAACATCATAAGATTAGAGGCACTAAACCCCAAACATATTCTGTCAAGTCTGTTCATTGATAACCTTTTATTGTAATGCTCAAACAATATATGCAGAAAGTAGACCTGTTTTGGAGGCAGAAAAGTTTGCATTGAGAGCCAGCAGATGACTTAATGGTTACATTGCTGGACCCAGTGGCTTAAAACTCATACCAGGCACGTGTGCAGGTGGCCCATAAATCCCAAGAGGAGATTGGAGAAGGGATTGTGGCATGGCCACCCCCCCACCCCTCCACCCCCCCGGGTAGTGATTTCTCACTTTCTGTCTTTGTCTCTCTGGCAAGTACACATGTCCTACAGCAAAAAACTCTCTCTTAAAAAAAAGAAAAGTCTGCATTGATCATTGATTGGTTTACGTATGCTTTGTGCTTAACGTATAAAACCTAAGCTTGTGCTTTCTGACTATACAGATCACTTACGGACTGGCTGGCAGCCCATCTTGCTCTGCTCTATGTAAATAAATAAACTCATGTTTTCCTCTGTTGGACCCCCAGGTATATTCTTTGAAATTGGTAAACAATACTGCAAGTCCTGATAGATTTGGGGCTCCCACCTACAATTCATGCAGTCAGATAGCCCCCAACTCCCAATTTTCAGTGATCACAGGGGAAACTGGGGGAAGGGGAGAGTTGCTAGGGCAAATGCCAGAGTAGGCCCCTTCCTTGATGTGGTACAAGGAAAACAGTTAAATGGGGACCACCGTACAAGTAAAAGAATGCCATGAAAATGCCTGTATGGGCGCTAGAAAAAAATTTTTTTTTGGAGAGGTTTTCACTATAGGACACGTGCGCTCGCCAGACAGTCAGAGAGAGACAGAGAGACAGAAAGCGAGAAATCCCCCTCCAGGGGGATGGCCACACCACAATCCCTTCTCCTCCATTCTCCTCTCGGGATCTTGGGCACGCACGCACACGCGCCCAGCGTGAGTTTTAAGCCACCAGGTCCAGGACGCGAACCGCGGTCAACTACATGGGACTCCGGCAACATAGCCATTATGCTAACTGCTGGTCCCCAGGGTGCTAGAAAATTTAAAGGCAGTTGATGAGAAGGGGAACATTTGAAAGAAAAAGGAAAATAGAATTTTTTTTTTTTGAGAGGTTTTTGCTATAGGGTGCGTGCACTCGCCAGAAAGAGACAGAGAGACAGAAAGCGAGAAATCACCCTCCAGGGGGATGGCCACACCACAATCCCTTCTCCTCCATTCTCCTCTCGGGATCTTGGGCACGCACACACACGCGCCCGGCATGAGTTCTAAGCCACCGGGTCCGGGACTCAGACTGCGGTCGATTACATGGGAGTCCAGTGACATAGCCATTACGCCAACTGCTGGTCCCAGGAAAGTAGAATTATTGCAGCTGCTTTTAGCTGGCCACTCCTTTGTGCTTTGGACCTGGAAAAAGAGTGAGAATAAGTCACTCATATGCAGGCTCAATGCCTTAGGGAAGAATCTGAGCTACAGTGAGATGCCTGTGTTGCTCAGGGTAAAAACAGCAACTTATTCAACTGCCACCTGGAGTAAACTATTGAACAATTACAGGGACTTGCTGCCAGTTCACAAAACTGAAGGTGATAAAGCTTCTACTGGCAATGAATTTGTGCTGCAATTGCCCAGGCAGGTTGGAATCTTCAAAACTGGCACCCCAGGGAACCAGCAGTTAGCGTAATGGCTATGTCGCTGGACTCCCACGTAGTCGACCGCGGTTCGCGTCCCGGACCCGGTGGCTTAGAACTCATGCCGGGCGCGTGTGTGTGCGTGCCCAAGATCCCGAGAGGAGAATGGAGGAGAAGGGATTGCGGCGTGACCATCCCCCCTGGGGG